CGGCACATAACCACCACCACCACCAGAGGGTAGTAGAGAGCATAGCAAAGAGAGTAGCAGAGTTTTCTTAATTACTTAAGACTCTTTATTAGAATGAAAGGAGCTCTGGTGGTGTAATGGTTAAGTGCTCAACTGCTAAATAAAAAAGCCAGCAGTTTGATCCCAATGGCAAATCCATGGAAAAGATGTGACAATCAGTTCCTGTGACGATATCAACCAATACCCACAACTACTGAGTGCCCTCTGACCCACAGTGACCCCAGAGGACAGAGTAAGATTGCCCCCTTGGGTCCCCAAGACTGTCAGGTAACCACGTCTTTCTCCTGCTGACCGTTTGATTAGCAGCTGACAGCTTAACCATGAAGCTGCCAGGGCTCCTTCCAGAAAGGCAACAGCCAAGAAAATCCTATGGGGCAGTTCTCCTCTATCATGGGGTCACTGTGGGTCCAGATGGACTCGATGGCACTCAGTAGCAACAAGTGAATGAAGCAGGAAGGCGTCAAACATCCTCAGACTCATGAAAGGAAATGTAAGAACAAAAACTCCTTAGTGGGGCAGCCAAGGGACTGCATGACCCCCAGAACTTCTGTCATGGCTGATTACAGGGGTCGTGGGTAGAGGCCACTTTGTTCATTCAGAGGCATAGCAGACCTGAAGGAGCTGGCTTCTGGGGAACAGGGATACAGGAAAGAGATGCACTTTATATTTCCATAGCAGGCTCCGGGTTCATTTTAGGGGAAAAAGAAAAATACTGAAAACATTTTAAAGAAAAATTTCAGTTATACATGACAGAGAGAACCCCATTTCCAATATCTGGTACAAAACAAGAGCGCCATACACGTGAGCTCTGCTGAACATGCAATTACACGTCTGTACATATTGGCAAAGGGACAAAATGCAGACATGACACTTTCAACAAGCTCTGTCCCAAGACATGACAACGCCCGTTTGAGGAATTGTGTTTTACTGAATGCAATCTGGGCACAAACTTATAAATGAGAAAGCAAACATGAAAAGCTAATGAGGAATCTGACGCACTCAAGACAGTAGTTTTCTGTCATTATTTCCCTGAATAATTCCCCAAGATTCCATTCCATTGCTTTGAGTCTACCTTTGCTGTTGGACTAACTCAGGGATGGGTAAACTACTGCCTGTTTTTTATAAATAGATTTGTATTGGCACGCAGCCATTCATTCATTTGCATCTTGCTTATGGCTGCTTTCTTGTTACAAGAGCCAAGAAATACTTAACTCTCTGGCTCTTTACAGAAAAAGTCTCCCTGTCTCTGCTCTCTTGGGAGAAAGATGAGGCTTTCTGCTCCCATAGAGATCTGCAGCCTGGGGAATCCTACACGGGGTCTCTCTGAGTCAGAACTGGCTTGATGACAACAACAAACTCTGATCAAACTGACTCAAAACAACACAAGCAGATGCCATTGTCTTTCTGTTCTATATTCTCGTGACCTTTTTAAAGCCCCCTCATAACTGTTATGAGTTGCTACCCTGTTTGCTCCGACTCATGGAGACCTTATCTATGGTGGTTCTGAGCCGTGGAGTCGGTTCTGACTCATAGTGACCCTGTACAGGGTTTCCAAGGCTGTAAATCTTTACGAGAGCAGAAAGCCTCATCTTTCTCCCACGGAACGACTGGTAGTTTCAAACTGCTGACCTCACGATTCGCAGCCTGATTCGTAACCACGACGCTACCAGAGCTCTAAACGTTGCCCAGTCCTACACCCACCATCTTCATGACCGATGGCATGTCTGCGTCCATGGCTGGAGCCACCGTATCACCCCATCTCGTGGAGGGGATGCCTCTCTTCTGCGGGTGCTCTAGGTCACCAGACCTTCTGTCCCTGGAGAACAATGGGTCTGTCCTGGTGACATGTCCAGAATAAACCAATCTAAGTCTCCCCAGCCTGGCTTCTAAGGAACAGTTCCATGTGTCTCTTCTAAGACTAATTTGTTTGTTCTTTTGGCAGTCTACAGCACATATTCAATACTCCACTCTTCCTTTTTCAGTATCCAACTTTTGTATGCAGATGATGTGATGGGAAAGGCCATGACTTGCATTAAAATGTAAGGAATTCTGTCCCAAAAATGGCCAGGCTTAGTAACCTGACAGAGACTATAGGAAAGTTGGAGAGCTTCGCCTTGTGATAACCTTTGAACTTGGATTTAAAGCTGTTTCTGTTGGTTGCCTTTCAGCCCAATCATAGACTGGCTTATAAAATAAACAGTTATCACCTGTGAGAGATGTGCTCGCTTAGACTACGAGCCACATGAGACCACGTGGCCAACATTTACCCAGAAATGCAGACGAGAAGGCGGAGAGGAGCAGGGAAGCTAGATCAATGGAAACCGAACAAACAGAAAGAAACGCAAACACTGACATCTTGTAAGAACCGTAACCCGTTTGTATAAAAGTTATGAAAGGGGGGACCTAATGTGGTGTGTAAACTTTTACCTAAAACACAACGAAATACACATGGAGTCCTGGTGAGGTGCCCTAGGGTAAGCACTGAACTGCTAACCACCAGGTCGGAGGTTCAAACCTACCAGATACTCCTAGGAAACCCTATAGAAGGTTACTTTGAGTCAGAACCAAGTTAATGGTATTTAATATTATTGCAAGGCGTTCTGTATCCTGTTAGGTGGTCTTTCTAGTCTAAAACGATGATTCAAGTAAAGTGATTTGCTTTCGCCTCTGCTCCAGGCCTAACGAGATTAATCACAGCAGCAGCACGTTACTAACCCCACCTGGTTCTCTTAGGGCTCTGGGTCCTTGGAGTTTATGGCATCGACAAGCACAGCTGTTCTCTGCAGTTTCCCCCACAAGCCCACGGCCCCTTGCCATCAAGGAAACTTCATGGAACTGAATCAAATCCTTTCTGTTAGAAATTACTCCTTCCTCTTAATGCCACCCCACTGGAGTGTGCCTGCAGGTGCCGTGAGGCAGACACCATTCCTTATCTGTCCTTGTGGTCCCCGGACATCAACGGCACTCTCTCCCACAGCTATTGTGGACCACACCGCATGAGGCTGTACTGCGAAAGTTGATGCTTCCACTTTTTTTTTCCTTTGAAAACTACTGTAGTGAATACAGAGAAACACTGTTATCTGATGGTACATGGAGGGGATTGTAATCACTGTAATGGAACAAGGGGTATGATTTGTTGAATGTAAAACGGATGATGTGCCCTGTAAACTAACACTTAATCGAGATGGAGCAGCTGGGGACTTTAGACACAGAGAGGGAGAGGAGCTGTGTGCTGACGACCTGGGGGGTGGGGTGGGGCAGGCTTGCAGGGTATACCCTTTAGTTGGTTGATGATGCATGGAGGAGATTGTAACCATGGCAATGAAATGAAATATGATAGGATGAATGTAAAACTAATGTTCTCCCATGTAAACTATCACATAATTCACAATAAAACATTAAAAAAACTTCCCTCAATCCACAGTAAAAACTTTAAAAAAATAAAAAATGTACTGTAGTATTTTTGTTGTCAAGTGCTGCGGAGTCGGTTCCAACTCATGGCGACTCTGTGTGGGGTGTCCGAGGGGCGTCTGGTGTGGTTCACAGTGGCCTTGCGGTCCAGTGCGTTATCCTGCAGCGCCGCAATCAATGTTTGCAAACCCTCGCTATCCCAGCATTCCTCAGGTGTACAAACCAGAGGCATGCTGTGCCCACCATGCTC